CAATTCGACTCTATGTTTTTTTTGTATGTATGTTACGCGATAACTCCGGTATTTGTGAACCGATTTTCATGATTCTTTTTTTTGTTGGAAAGGGGGTGCTTCCATAGTGGTGGTCCCATTTCATTTTGAAAGAAATCATCCACCTCCAAGGGTGACTGTTCACGCATGAAGATTCATTTTTATCAATAGCGCCTAAATTTTAGTTAAGGAGCAATTATTTTAATGGTTGATTTTGCTATTTCTCCAATTCAAGGCGTTTTTCTCTCAATATGCTTTGAGTAGTGAGAACCGATTTTTATTATCTCCGGTGTCAATGCCTGTATAGTGGCGAATTTAAGGATATTTCAATAAAACTTAGCAAATAGATGTAATTCCACGTACTTTTGAACTCGGTTTTTTAGTACTCTGTACTTAGATTATTATTGCTGTGGCACCACCACTTCGCTTCAATAATAATAACGTACTAGTGAAGCCTTTTATAGAAAAAAAATCGATACTACGATAGTAAAACATCACGGTGAATTATATCAAGTTTTACTTCCATTTTTATTGTGTATTATATAAGTCCGCTATCCCCGGGGCTACTTTCATGACCTGTACTTCAACTTGCTGTAATTAGCAGGCTTTGCACACACACTCTATAGCACGTGACACAGCAATCGCGATAGAGGGCACGTGTAAAAACGTTGGAAGGAAAACGGAAAGACCGCGCGGTTGTTCTTATCAGTCAATCGTGCACTCCAACGCGCGTCAGTTTCACGCGGTCTATCCTGTGCTATTAGCCGCTCTTTCTGTTGTGACAAATACGAACACGAGCAATCGCGTGCGAAAGAACGTTAGCTTAAAAAATTGCAAACAGTTAATCGCGCACAATTGCGCGTGCAGACTTTCCTGCGTGCAATCCTGTACGTTCCTGATCACGCACAATAAAGCGACTGTGTAAAGGGGACTATTCTGTCGTCTGCTAACTAGAACGAATAATTTTTTGAGATATCATAAAAAACCAGAACCTAGTTTTATAATATTAAAATTTATTATAGTTATTTTTGATACAAGTGCGGAAAGTTAATCATTATTCACGAGTCTCGAGGCTTCTTGGCCCGAGCCATTGGCGAGGGTCAAGACTCGAGACAAGTGAAAATGACAAATCCGCACGTGTATCAAACGACGTTTTTTAATACATTTGCGAAAAAACTACATTGAAAGTAAAATAAAACAGTATTAAAAAAAACTCATTTTCTGCTAGTAAATTAAAATAATGAAATACAACCACTGCAACCATTAGTTAAAAGTCTATGGAAATCTAGTTCTAACGTGCTGTTTTTGTTTATTTTCTGTAATATCGGTCTGTAACCACTTTTCTTATTATGAAGTCCTGGTACTTTTGTTTAAACTTCTTTAGGAACCCGTGCACGGTAGTGAGATACAATTTATCTGTAATACATAGAACAAATATATACATAAAAATCTCGCCTGTCACCCATTCAGGGGTAGGCAGAGACTGTGGACCTCCACTCGATACGTTCATTATATAGTATTTGTAAATAAATATAAGTTTTAATGACGAATGACTTACGTCACAAAGCACATAAATATACAACTTCTTTAGTTCTGTGCTTAAGATTTGAAACAACAGTAAATTTAAAAAAAACTGGAAAAGTAAAAAGCACTAGTGCGAGAAATCCAACTTTACGCACGATTTGTAGTGCGAAAAATACCACGTTTTGAGCAACTGTATTAAAAATGATATTTCCTTAAGTAAGTTCCGATAAGTCGAACACGTAAACTAATTTTAACTGCTCTTAGAAGAGTTTGATGCTCTTAAGAGAGAATTTTGTGCTGAAGTTTTTGCTTATTAAAACGGATGTTTGACCATAGGTCACTTAGCCACGTTTTAGTTAGTGTAGGGCAGTATTGTCGACGTTACCTGAAGCAGGAACTCTGTGCGTAGGCCGCGCGCGACCCGGCAGCGAAGGCCGGCGCGTGCGCAACGGCGCTCCGGCGCGCCGCCCGCGCCGTTGCGGCCGTGGCCACGCGCTACGCCGCCATCGCGCGCACCGCCTTCCACGCCGACGACTCCACGCTGCGCCACCTGCTTATGTATCCTTTGCAGATTGTGACCGATAGGAGTTATATTATATACTCTTGTCAGTGGAGCATCTTCCGATCATCTCTCCTATAAGCCAACTCCTTAACCTCCTTATATGACACGACACCGTCCTTTTTCTTTAATTGCTCTATATAGCTGCGCCTAGGTCGACCTCTTTCCCTCGATTTTTCCCTCTAAAATGGTCTTAAAGTTGTATCGTATCAAATGTATAATCGCATTACAAAGGAATTAGACGATTTAATTCCGCCTTCCCCTTTCCATCACCGGGGGACTAGACGTAGGCTTGGGTTCCACCCCTATGTTGTGGATATTCCAAAGATTCCCACGAAGCGTTACATTTATATGGCGAACGGCTATGGAGTGGAATTCCCTGCCTGCAGACTTGTTCCCTGAACGTTATAACTTGGACCTTTTCAAGGCGAGAGTGAATAGGCATTATCTAGATGTGCATGCTCCATCGTCGACCTCATCGTCACTTTCCATCAGGTGAGATGGAGGTCAAATGCACACTTACATTAGAATTTAAAAAAATCATTTTCTTGCGTCTATTCTCTATTCAAGATCGTTCTTCTCTCGTTTACCTTTCTCAATACATCCTCGTTGGTTTTCTTTTCTCAAAAGCTTCTACTATAAACTACTATATATAGTATAATGCCAGTTCACTGTGCAAAAGTGTTGCCCGCACGCAACCGACCAGTGCTTGCAGTCGATAAATATTCTATCGACTACCATTTGAATGTTGATTACGCTTATGAAACAGATAGCCGAACTTGTTTCAATTGAATCATCATACGTCCAACTGAATGAAAGAAAAAAATTTATTCAGCACAAACACATGGTTACAAGTACAATATTATGATTTTATGATATCACTGACTTTTCATTTGAATTTAATATACATAATCAAATCCGCCTGTCGTTATTAAAATGTATATGACTACAAATACATTTCGATAGAATAGACCAACTATCAAAGTAAGAATTAAGAATACAATAACACAATTAGTAATCATTAGAACGTCGTAACTTTCACAACTCAGACATTGTTGGCAAAAGTTTACCTTTTTTCACAATCTGTCGATAAAACTGTCGACAATAACTACGTGACTATTTAAAATTATACCAAAAGTGGCAACCAACCTCATGTCATTTTACTCAATCTTCAAAAATGACAGACTATTTATTTCAGACAATCACAGGCGTTTCTTAAATAATATGTAACAAAATAAACTATATTTGTTTGTAAAGCTAATAACAGATGGCCCCGTCGTGTTATGTATAAGATAACGCACAATAATAATAACGCTCACACACTTATAGCCCCGCACTAGGAAAACCCTGTGTCGAGTGTGCCATGGACACACACATGGACTACCACAAATTACACCCAAACTCACGATAGAAATTGATGTAGGCCATACAAATGTTTCTCCCTGCCCGGAAATCAAACTCTGCGTGGCAGTCCAGCATGGTAACCTTTCGCCCACCGAGGCAGTCGTTAAAAACAATTTAAACGTACAAAAAGTAGCAAATGTATCCTCTAAGAGAAATTAGAAGATACTTTAAATTGCAATGGCAATGTTGGCAGTGTAATGGAAATATCGAGTATATAACCAGAAATAGAGACGAAATGTCATTTAATTTGTTTGAAAACTATTCTCCCATATCATTGCTGTGATAACTGCGCTCCGATTGGCTAGCCCGAGTTCGAAACAATTGACGGGTGTCGTCAACTGTTTCACTTCAAATCAACCAGTTAACTTGAGCTTTGCTAATATGGACGAAAATTGCAATATATTTATTTAATATTTAATTACCGATGAAAATTGATTCATTTGTTTTATAATTAGATATTTTGCTGTTTTTGCTCACACAACCGAATGAAACAGCACGCCATTGTTCGAGATATTATCTTTATTACAATAAATATAAAATATTTTTTGGAATATACGGAGACGTACACACAGGTAAGTTGTTGGCGCTGTACCACACCCCGGATATTCCATACAACGGAAAGTTACAGGAAGGAGCGTGCGTGAAGTGGCAGAGTTACCTATCACTTTCTCGTACTATTACGTTACGTGGTCAGAGCAGCAACACAGCGACAATTCTAACGCGAATCTGTAATCTATGATTCTATTAATAGAATTCTAATAATTATAATGTCTATTAGGTATTTACATCGATATATTATTATATTTTTAATTAATTCGCTAACTAGAGTAATATTGAAGATTTATTTCAAAAACATATTAAAAGCACTTAAAATGTTATATTTCGGACATGTACTTTTAAGTAAGGTATTTGAAATTGCTTGGCAATACGAATAGAAAATTCGCGAAGTCATGGCGTCTCGTTATATTTATATAATAAATCTGTATTTTTTATACGTACTCTCAGTAAATCAATGAAGGAAATAATAAGTAAATGAGTCTCAGACATACGCTTTTTTTTCTTACTTCGTTTCATCTTTCGGAAACTGATGATAAACAGCCGTACACAGCACAATTCACGATCATTATAAATAGTAACGTAAAATGATGTGTGTCTATATTCAAATACCAAAGCCGTCGCGCAAAAACGGCTCGCCGGCAGCCTTGTTGTCATTCAGTCAATGTGACCGGCAATGTGCGGGGTGTGGTGCGGTATCTAAAACTAGGGAGGGGCGGAGAGTGTCCGTTCTCTTATTCTTTGTTCTCTGGCTGTACTATTACAGTAAAAGCGAGAGTTGATATTTATAATTGATGTGTTACCAGGAAAGTATGACCTTTATTTCGTCTCTATTTCTGGTTATATACTCGGTAAATGGAAACTTTAGGCTAACCTAAATCCTGTTTAAGTTTTTTGTATTTTAATACCTATTGACGAAGCGCAGTGCTGATGATCTTTAAATTATAAATTTGACAATTTCACATATCGTCTGTTTAAAGGTTTATATATTTATATAGCTATGGTAAGAAAATCACTATCTTTCTGCACGTGAATCTCGGTAACAAAAAAGCTATAAACTTAATAAGAGTTTAATCTTCAGAAAGATGGTGATTTTCTTGCAACAGGTACATTATTTAGAAATTATTTGTTTAAAATGTCACTTATGTGGAACCTTTAAGCAGACAATATAATTTGTAAACTTTTCATTTTAAATTTTAGTAGTCGACATAATATGGTGCACGGTTAGCTCTCTGTATGTTTGCGTGCGTGCGTATGTGTTCGGCCCAAATCAAAAATATGTTTCCCTTAAAGAAACTGTCAGTTCGCAACACACTTACACGCAACTGTCGCACTTCCTGGATCGCATAACCTCCAGCCAACCCGAAAGATCAACGGAGCTTACCACACAAGAAATGAAGGCAACAACTTTAGAAGAAATGATAGCACTGTCAGCTAGCAATGCGATTACAAAGATATCTACAAAGCTGTTTGATAATCCTACTACAAATCCTGGGATTACGCATCGTGTGAGTGTTCTTTAATTTTGAAGATTTTGTTGTGGGTTTTTTGTCATGATTATCAGAGCTCTATTTCACTCAATGCTGAATATAATAATATATAAGAATAATAATTTATTTATTACTACGAATACGAGTTACAGTAATACAACTTACACGTACAAAAAGTGTATTTTCAGTAAATATGACACTGTTGTGTTGCATAACAGTGCAAGTGTTAAATCAATCATTTTGGAAAAAATATATAATAAAATTGAGAATATACACTGTTTACTATACGGTGTGAAAACATGATATCTAACAATTTTCACGGTTGTAAAAAAAACACAAACTTACCTCGAAATTTTACAAGAAAACCGTATTCAATAGATACTTGACATATACCAATGATTCTTTTTATTATCAACTGAAGTAGAATTTCAAATGGCTTCAATTTCGCTTGTAAAAAAGAATAAATTCTAAAATAAAGCCAGTGTCCCTGCAGTAGAGATCCTGCCGTTCAACCCAAGCAAATTTATTTACGTAGTAGGGGAAAAAATTGAATATGAACTGAGATTATAGACTCTTAATAAGATTGCAAACATATCAGCCTCATATAGAAACTTGTCATAAAATAATAATAACGCACACACTCAACATAGCCCCGCACTAGGGAAACCCTGTACCGCGGGTGCCATGGACACATAGACAACCACAAATGACACCCAAACTCACGTGAGAAATAAATGTAGGCCATACAAATATTTCTCCCCGGGAACTCTGCGTGGCAGTCCGGCATGGTAACCGTTCGGCCACGGAGGCAGTTATAATCGCCTGAAAGGTAAGTGTAGTCCACGGTACCCCGCAGCACCTGGAGGCGGTGCTGGCCCTGGTGCGCGCGTGCGGCGGCGGCGCCGTGTGGCCGCGCGGGGTGTGCGCGGGGCGCGCGGGGGGCGCGCTGTGCCGCGTGTCCCTCACCCCCGCCTTCCGCGCGCCGCCCGCCGAGCACGCCGCCACGCTGCCCCAAAGCCACAAGCTGGCCCTCAAGCTCGAGGGCGTCGTGCTGCCCGCAGTACCGCTCAGGTCGGTTTCTTTTCTAATATCAAAGGGCAGAACAGTTGCAGTGCCCCTCAGCTTTCAATCGCAAAGACCTGAGGAGCACGACCACTGCGCCCGTAAAACATACGTTGACAAATCGACCCCTCCCACGTAAAGTATCGTATGTCGAAATTGCCAAGTTTACAGGGGAGCGTTTTAAGGTTTTGAATTCTCTGAAATGAGCTTACCACGTGACTAGCATTTCTCGGTTTTATTCGACAAAGGTACTCACATAGAGCATTATAAAATCATAGATATCGGTTAGATGAATAACCACAAACGCTCCCCTATATACTTGGCAATTTCAACATACGATACTTTACGTAGGAGGGGTCAAAGTTCCATACGCCTGTAATTTCTGCAGCACTTACCCTTGCAATGCATGCAGTTAATGTATGTAGTCGTAATCAATTTCGTGCAGCTGAGACATCGACTGCATGAAGTTGATAATGACTTCATAACTACAAACATGCAGTCAATCTATTAGCAGCCTTAGTTATTGATTGAATGAATGTTATTCCTCTGACACGCTATTGAGACAACTGACACATATTATCATAATCAAAATAACTTGGGGGCCCAGATCTATTCCTTACTTAACAATTGGCTTCATTTGTTGCAGCAAAAGACAAAAACAGAGACAAGTGAAAGGTGTCCAGATAACAGTGACTGCCACGCCTCATCCACGCACGAATGAAAAGGTAAAATACATACTCGAATCTCAATTAGCAGATAGCATATGCAGGCCATGTTCCTGAAGAGTAGATGCGAACACACACGCGGTGTTATAACAATTGACATATGAGCTAGTATTGGTCTTATAGTCCATTTCACATAGGTACTGTGACATTTCAAATTTTTACGTTGCATGCATACCGTTAACCAGCTTACGAAAAGAAATAGTAAATTTTTTTATAATACACCAAAAACGAACAATTTATACATTTCAGATAGAAACAGAAATGATAAATATATAAATTAATTACCCCGTCGTTTTCCAACGATTTTGCTTTGGGTGAGAAACTGGAGTAATTTGTAGTTATTGTTCCTGAAGACGCGGCCGATGTACGATATCTTCCTGCACTTAAATTTTAAATTCGATTGTCCACAGACTGTGGAATTAACAAACGTGCCTCCAATCCTGACGGCCGTACAGACTGTGACCCCAGTCCGCGATTTCTTCTCCGCACAGCAGTTGGTCAGTGTGAATACTGCTGGTCTCTACACTGTGGCCGTCGAGGCTGCATTCGTCGATGAGAAAGGAGAACTGTGGAACACGGGACCGAGGACGTCTATTGTTATTAAGGTTGGTTGAGACCATAACACATGACATGTCAGTCAGGACACGTTGCTAGGTGGGACGACGACCAAAGGAGCACTGAGTGGTACTCTGTAGGAGCAAGAGATTCTCGAGGCAGACTACCTAATTCCCAAGTCCATAGAGTGTCAATGGCAGGTTTTTTAACGTTTGGTATTCTTCTAAAACTGAAGAGTAGTGGCTCTTCCATGGCTAGCCATCCAGCTGCTGTTCAACTGCCAATGCAATTTTGTTGTATTCTGCTCTTTAATGGCGAGTCGATGATGTAGTCGACTTATTATTTGACATACAAAAATGCATTTAATTTGAAAACTAATTTGCAGCTTATATATTAAAATTAAATAGAAATAAAAATAGGAATAGGAACATAAATTGGAATAGGAATTGGAGTAGGAGTAGAAAAAGAAATTATTTATTTTCAGCCAAATTAACTCTGGAATGGCATCAATTCGTAAAATCACTAACGATCAATGTTGCCTTACTAAAACTACGTTGGGAATTACTACGCATATCTTAATTTTTATATAGTCATATCTTGGTCTTTAGCACTGTTGAGGCTCCCGCGATATTTTTTTCTTTCTAACATAGGTATTAAGCTGGTTAGTTTCACAACTTAATACCTATAGGAAATGAAACTAAATTTCCGGATTTAAAAAAACGGTTGACTCAAAAGTACCTGTAAAGGGCCCGAAACGTCGGTTTGTTTGAAAAAACAAATATACGCGATTTAAATCCGGAAAAATAGTTTCTTTTCCTATGTGTAACAATCGCGAAAACCTAAGAACTCGATAACATAATACAAACCTATGTTACAAAGAAATAGCAATGTTATTTAAAAAGACAAAATGCAAAAATTCAACCTATATAAAAACACCTTCGTCGTGATCACATTAATGTAAATAATTAATTACTGGTTACTTTTATGTTAATTTCACTTACTAGTGATTTGAAACTTATTAATTTCGGGGAAAAATATTTAAATTGTGGTAACTATAAAACGGTCCGAGGTGAAAACACTAAAAATCATATATTTTTGTTTGTTGTCATTTATTCTATATAGAATTTGGCTAAAGTATAGTAATAATCAAAATAACAAATTAAAAATATATATATTGATTGTGCTATATCGACGCCTTACCTTCTCAAACTCGTATCTTATAAAGAGTGTTTATTCAGAAGATGGCAAAACGTTCTATTTATTTTAAATTTAATTATTAATACAGAGATCGAACACTCAGAAAAAATTCCTTCGATCCGGCCGGATTCGAACCGTCTTCTAGCTTACCGTGCCAGATAAAATTATTTTAAATTTCTTATCAAGGTTAGTGTTAATTTGGGTGCATTACTTTAAGAATAGGTGAACGCCAGTGTGTGAATATGAAGGAAATGTGTTGTGAAATCCGCCTGCAAAATTTGTATATACAATTCATTTTTTGCGTTTCAGTAACTTTGTGGTTTAAGATAAGAGTTTGAGAAAGTTAGGCGACGATTATGTACAATACATAAATATGATATTATTTTGTTTGTATAAGGCAATAAACACTTTCGACAAGGGTACACGTGTATACGCAGCTGGACAAATAATTCAAAATTTATTCCGAACAATGAGTCCTCTATAGTTAGTCCTAACAATATACCTAGTATTTTAACACTAACGTAAACAATACTTTAAGGTTGATAAGGCACCGTAAAAGACCTTGGCCACAACACTGGCACATTCAGTCATGACACTTTGTCGTCATTGTTTTTATGAGGATTAAAAGGATTTAATACTAGGTCTTATACTTTTATTTTACGCAGGGTTATTTTTTAATGTACTAATAGCCTCAGTAGACTATATTACTGAAATCATAAACAACAATTTTTGTTTCATGATATTTAATAATTCATCAGATTGTACTTTCGTAAAAAAATAAACATGTTTAAGTAAATCGCTTTAAACTGTGATAACTCAGTGCAGTAACAAAAGAAAGCGCTAAATACCAATTCATTGCAAAACTCAGGAGCGGAGGACGGGGTCGTCTGGCAGGATGCTTGCTTGCTTGAACTTACTACCAAATACTAATCAAAATGTGTCAGATAGTACAACAAAAACTTAAAACAATTATTTTTCGTAAATTTAGTGTTTTGTGAAAAGTTATGAAACAAAAATTATTTATAATGTTAGTAATATTATGTATAAGAGTCAATTTCATATACAAAAAGGAATTTTAACTGTAAATATGTAAGTTCTTCTGAATTGAAGCCATTTTCATGATATCGCAACCACAATAAAAAAAACGAAACATTTTAAAAAGTAAATTTTTTGGAAAACTGGCAAAGTCATCAACATCATTTTCAGCCCTGTTTTAGTCATAAACCTAATCATGAACCCTGATAGGATACCGCAACATAAATCGAACCCTCCTACTTAAAGTATCGTATGTGGAAATTGCCAAGTTTACAGGGGAGCGTTTTAAATTTCTGAATTCACTCGTTACTCACATAGAGTGATCATTTAATAGATCATCTAACCGATTTCTAGAATTATAATCTCTATGTTAGTAACTAGCTTTGCCAAATAAAACTGAGAAATGTCACGTGTTATGCTCACGCTCCCCTGTAAACTTGGCAGTTTCGACATACGATACTTTACGTAGGAGGGGTCGATTAATAACGTAAACAAAAAATCTAATATAAAATTGAACAAACTTAAACTAAACAATTACATATACATTATTAATTATTTTTATGTATTCATGTTATTATTATTTATTGTCGTCCTTTATTTATTATTAAATATATCAAACCATTTTATTAAAAAAAAAACAAACTGCATATTCCTTTCGTTCCTGCGAAACTTTTCGGTCCTGTACGTCCCTGATCCGGGGGTTCTTCTCCGTCCGAAACAATGACTGTGAAATAAATAATACTCGACCAAATGAAAAAAACAATGCCAAGTATGAAGCTTCATTCACATCATACTTCTTTTAATTTGATCGAATATTACTTATTTGATAGTAATTGTTGGTCGGAGTACAAGAGTGGACCCTCAGGTTTTGCCCGCAGCTTTTACTATGTCGTCGACCCCGGCATACAATTGGACTACCCGGATTTCTTCGGACTGTACCACAGGAGAGGTGGCTAAGGACAGGTGGCGGCAAAATAAATTTAAAAAATCGCTTATGAAATAAAACTAATATTATTTCCATCATATATCATTTATTGACGATCTCGGTGGCCTAAAGGCTTGCACAGTGGACGCTGGATGACGATATTCCGGATTCGATTCTCCGATCAGTTTTGGAAATAAACTTTTTTAAACTGATCTTAGTGTTCTGGGCAGTGGTTTCGGAGTGTATTCCGTTGGTACTGCAATGTGGTTATCTAGCACATTACTATTATTATTATATATAAAATTGTGCCATTTTTGCCACTAGTCAGATGGCATAATATGGCATACGGTTATTTTTTAAATCCTATTTTATCACCTTCCCAGGAGTTACTTTTCGAATTTAATCACTTTATACATAATTGGGGCAATAGTGGTATGACATTTTTTTTCTACAATTACTTTAAATGATACTAAATATTTTATATTTGGATGCTACGTTTACGTATGGAAGTAGATGCTGATGAACAATAACGTGTCAACCAATATGATCATAGTTTTGCGAAAATGGCACTTAAAAATTTTTTCATTGTTTTTGATAGTTTGTTCTGAAAACTTTTGCTGATTATTATAATTCCCCAACAACAAGCACAACAGCAAATATTTTTAATTTATAAGTAAATTTTAAAACAAACTACCAAAAAAAATTTTCAAAAGAAAACAACGAAAAAGTCTTGGTGCCATTTTCGCAACACTATAATCAAGTTTGTTGACACGTTATTGCTTATCATCCACGTAAAACATATTTCATAGTTAATTATACATGAAAATAGCATCCAAATATAAAATTGATAGCCTCAATTGAAGGAGCGATACGAAGAAATGAGTCACTACGCTCAAAGCATTTTTCACTCGTATTACATAGACATAAAACTTTTTGTAACCGGCTTAATGTAATAACTCCCTTAGGACGCGTTCCCATTAATTCTGCCGTCCACTAAAACGCGCCTCAGTGACAAATGGTATAATAATAACGTGTTCGGTATCGGAACTTACACTGATGATGCATAGTTGAAATATCATGAAACAATTTCAATGTTCTAAAACAGGGTTGTAGTTTTTTGTGATATATAAAAAAAATATTTTATCACTTAGTCGCATTTTAGTTAACAGACGGCAGTTATGTCGTAACGACAGATAGTCGTGTAGTTTAAAGTGTCGTGGCTTGTCTAATCAAATGAAGTTGTTCACACATAGAACAACGCAATTAACTGTCGTTCACGACTTTTTTGACATTACGACGACAGACTGTCGTAACAATGGGAAGAGCTAGAACGACAGTCATCCGACGATAAATAAAACTTCAAACGATTCTGTCGTGTAAAGGTGGCTTCCGTGAACCGATAAATTGTAGTCACATTCTAGTGGGAACAGCTAGACACGACAGTCGTTCAACGATAAAATAAACGTCCACGACACAGTCACGACAGATAGTCGTGATACGGGAACAGGCTAGACACGACAGTCGTCCAACGATAAACAAAACGTTACGACATAATGGGAACGCGCCCATTACTGTATAAATTGTATAGAACAATTCTCTTTTTTAGGCACACGAAGACCCGAACTCTAAAGGCACCGTACAAAATCAACGTGGAAGATTTTAACCTTAATGATAAGCATTTATATTGTTAATATAAAATTTAGATTAAAAACAGAAAATACACGTAGTTTTAAAATTCTTTGTTATTTTCGTTTAAAATTTTATTAGTGTGTAACAAGGCCAATTCATAGTGAAATTGTGCCAAGGATCTTTAGTTTCCGTCCACCCTACATTCTCATTCCTGTGTGTCCGGTACTAAACATGGATCCTATCTAACACAAACATGGCAACACTGCTCGCGCAGGCCGTGACTAAAACACAAAAGAACCGAACGGGGAACCGTCGCTAACTATAACTTTATTTGCTTTTTAACCGACTTCAATAAAGGAGTACATTACGCGATTATTCCTTCATCTGTGAACCGATTTCAATGTTTTTTTTTGTTAGAAAGAAGGTAACTTCAGCATTGGAATTTGAAGAATATATTCTAGGGGGTAAACTAGGGTATGTATCTTTTTTCGCGCACTTACTGTTAACCGATTTAAATAAAACATCAGAAGTAGATGTAATTCCAAATAAATAAAAAAGCAGATAAAATCTTTCCAACAAAAAATAATCATCAAAATCGGTTCATAAATCGCGTAACAACACACAAAAAAACACTCCAATTGAGAACCTCCTCCTTTTTGAAGTCGGTTAACAAATACTTATATATGTATTCATGTAACTCCTCTCACACATCAGCAAATCATCTTTAAATGAAACACACACACACAAGACAGACTCACGGACACACTTAAGTAGATATTGAATGCTGATACATTAACTGAAACCAGAACTAAATAATTATTACTTGTTGCGAGAGAAGACACCGTTTTCCGTAGCACGAGTCTTTTACTGTTCAAATAAATAATTTTAAGTTAATAATAATTATTAACTTAACTAAATTACCTGAACATACATAAAGTAATTAGGTAGACGTATAAATTCCAAAGTAGGAGTGCTACTAAACCCATAGCACTCGAACAACTAACCGTGCCATCTGTTCTATGCCAAATATCGAACGTCATCCATAAATCGATTATTACACTATTGTATTTTAACTCAACATTATGTAAGTTAATACACTCAGTATCGCTTTATTTCTCGATCACATCGCAGGTAAACTGTGACCTAAAAACATAAAGTGAAATGACAAACAATAAAATAAATATATTGATGATAGCACTATCTTGCTTGACTGATAACAATTTCGCTCTATCTTTTACCTATCAGTGCAATAAACGACACCGTCGTTGTTCGGCGTACTCGTTCTTGTTAACAAAAATGATTTCACTTTTATTCTTTGTGTTTATCGCTCTACATAGTGTTAGTGCATTATCGATTTGTAACGTGTGTTTATGTCGAACGAATAGAGTTGAAAATGTGCTGCAACAATATATAGACTGCTCAAGAAGGGATATTTCTATGTCGAACCTCACTTTACCTAGTGACGGTTATTCTCTAGATTTATCTTCAAACAAATTTGATCGACTGCAGAATTCGAGTTTATTCAAGTCCACGACAATAATCGAGTTGTTTTTGAACGATAATAATTTGAAAGAAATTAGTGCAAACGTTTTAGATTTTCCCGAACTTAGAATATTGGATTTGAGTTTTAATAAATTGGAAACAATTCACGAGAGCACTTTTACAAATTTGAAAAAGTTACAATTCCTGAACCTAGCCAGCAACAAATTCACGTCATTTGAGAAGCTAGCATTTCATCATTTAAGTAACTTGAAAGAAATTATTCTGGACAACAATGATATTGGACAGAGTCTCAGAAAAGTTAATCTCTTTGACATAAACGGTTTCGGGCTGACAAAGAACATTCGAAATATAAGCATGTACAGCGTTAACTTGAACGAAGTTCCTGATAATTTCTTCATAGAGGCTTACGATATACGAAAATTAGTAATATCGAATAACAATTTGAGTGACGTATTCGAGTTTCCGTATACTTTGGAATATCTAGACTTGTCAGATAATCCGATAAAAACAATTTCCACGGAAGACTTTAATAACATCCCAGCGTTAAGAGTGTTAAAATTGAACAATTTACAAATCGAAGAAGTCCCTTGTTACGTATTTGAACCGCTACATGGATTGAAAGAACTAGAAATTGAAAGGAATAAATACCTTACTAACTTTAGTAGACTCGCATTTGGAGATGAAGCATTAAATGATCCTGACAATTTCCTATTGGAACAGCTGTCTCTTAAAAATTCGAGATTGACTACGTTGGATGAAGATCTTTTGGAACCCTTTGGGCGGTTGATAAAGCTGGATTTACAAGGCAATCCCTGGAAATGTGACTGCAAAATTGCTTGGTTCAAACGGCTACAGATTGACCCTAAAGATTATGAGCACTTGAGGTGAGTGCAATTAGAATCAGTAGCTTTTTAATACAATACTTAATAGAGACCTTTAAATTTAAGTAATGTGCCCCTATGTGTGTGCTTTACGTTTGCCATATTGGTATGATATGGTGTACCGGGGTGACGTCAGCAACCGGTTTCGAAGGGTAAGTGTGCTGTTAAAATTACAAGCAAATAGGACTTGTCACCTTATGTCGCTTTGACGGACGCAGTGACAGTGTCCCTCAGATTTTTGCTATTTAAGGCTCTGAGTGGCACTGCAATTGGTCGCTAACAACGAGACGCACGACTTGTTCATTCAGCCACTTGGATTCATAAAAAAACGTCGTCTGGGTGCCTATTTTACTTGTGGTGGGTGTAGTGTCCCACTCGTGCCACTTGAGCTTCTTCAGGAATCTCAGCATTTTCCTAGGTTTGCTGAAGACTTCGGCGAGTTCCTCCCCCACCACGCTCTGTCCGTGATACCGTGGTGTATATTATATGGACCATGGCCCGTTGAAGCGGCAGTTAGAACAAGTAGCTCTTGTCTTTTGAGCTTAAGAAATTTTCGGTTTAGACCTTTAACCTTCCACAAACCATAATCGTTGTCCAAGTATTGTTATGAGAAATGTACAGTCAAGAGCACATCAAGCTTAACACTTTGTACTTTGGACCGTTCTTATTGTAAGCGGCATAGAGTTGGATTTAAGTCTTAAGTGTCAACCGTGACGTGCTCTTGACCCTGTACCTTTGTGCATAGTTCTTGACCATTTGCAGGAAAGGGTCTTTATAAGTTCTGATCATACAGCGTCCGCCTCCAACTGTTTCCTATCCAGTTTACCTAATACAACTTTATTACGAATATAATAACGTTGATTCAGATATTAGAAATCTAATCTTTGTGTCCAGTGAATCAGTCTTCAAAATTGTAAGACCGTCATTTATTTCTAGTACAATTTTCGTACATAAATTACGCACGTCTTGCGAATCGATTAGGACTAAACTAAATTTAAGTCCAGTGCATCTATTTATTTTGTTTTCAGTAATGGTGTTCATGAAATTTTATTATAGTACTTTGAAATTACTCGATGCCCACTCAAACGACACGGCTGACAGAGATATCACAAGTTTTATTACAATATCTTTAGAGATATCAGTCATCAGATAATTTGTCTCCTTCGTTATCAGTAAGCGAACGCTAGATTTAATTTTAGACTAAAGCTGTCAAAATTTGACAGCTCCTTATTGTTTGAGATCACAAGATCAGCTACGAATGGCTTTATCTCGACTACACTCGTTCCATAATACAAGCAAAGACTTACTCGGGCCAACGCAAAGTGCACTCAATAATCGTCAATTTGTTTAATAACCGTCCTTTTGTTTTAAAAACCGTAAAATTTGTCTCATCATCGCAATGAGCGTTGGCGGAATTATAACCATAATCGACACAATTGCATTTTTTTTTCACACAAATCAATTTGTGACACATTTTTTCATAGTCACGATAAATTATACTCGAAAGAAATGACGACGTTACATTTTTTATATTACTTACTAAAATTCTAATCGGATTTCAATGCCACAACACAATGAAATCTACATTATATTTGTTAACACATGACGCACTATTATTGCTATTTGTATTCTTAAGGTAATTATTATACACACGTACAACCTATCTACATATAGTACATCTACATTGTTTTCTACGTAATTGTTTGTCTTATGACATTGTTATACATAATATTCAACATGATGTACGTTTAAATTCTTACGCTTTCTCACGGCTTTTGTTTCCCATTGGGGTAGGCAGAGGCTAACGATCACCACTCTGCGTGATCCTGACAAACCTCTCTTGCTTCACTTACATTTGTGTCGTTAATTCTAAAAGTGAATTATCTCCTTGTAATTAAAATTTTGTAACATATTCACATGGACCATTATAATTGATAATTAGCATTTTAGTTCAATGAATAAACAAGTAACGCCATCTATGGGGTTTAAGTCCAATTACCGGAGTTACCTCACTTTTATAATGAAAGATATGATTAAATGTTTTAAAATTCTAAATGTAAATTACGTAAAAAAAAACATTTAAGAAAATATGGAGATACATTACTTTTACAGGGAACGACACATTTATCATTCTTTTCATAGCTCGCCTATTCTTCTCACTGCTCAGTTCACTCCTTATGAGACTTCTGCTATTTCGCTAAACAGACCTTTTCATTTTCGACCACTACGCCCTGTTACTATACATAGGTACTCTATGTCAAATGTGCCGTCATATCAATTTATTATTACGCTGGGGTAATAGAATATAATAAACTTTATTGCACACAAAACAAAAACAGTGACAATATAAAACATAGTTAAAAGGTACAATCGGCGGCCTTATCGCCTAGACTGCGTTCTCTCCCAGGCAACCTCACAAATTATTACAGAGTTATAGATGGAGGGCAGTTTATGGTGCACAAAGCAGCTGAACGGTGTATAAATTGGTAACCTATCACAAACTCGAATTTCTTTTTTCCGAATTTCGTTAGTCCGAAAACGGTTCGACTTTTTTTCATTAGTGCGGTATAAATTTGCAACACAGAAATGTCTTACAGCAGAAGTATCGTTTGTCCGAAAACCTATTGTTAGAATAATTATTACACATACGTATTCTTTGGGCAGAAGTTTGTTTGATCTAATCATATTTGTTATACTGTTTGTTTTCCATATAATTTAGATTGCTGAAAATTCGTTTCGACAAAATTACTATTCTTAGGAAATGAAACTATTTTTCCGGATTTAAATCGCGTATATTTGTTTTTTCAAACAAACCGACGTTTCGGGCCCTTTACAGGTCCCATGGTCACGGTTGACTACACTACTACGGTTGGTTACTATTCTTAGATAAAATTTTACCGCCATACAATTTTGCCGTACAGCTCCAAAATTCTTTTTTTTTTTCTTATTTATTGAGGGACAAACAGTTACACACATATAAAAAATATATATTTTAAAATTAACTTATAAATAAACCCATAGTCCCCTAAATATACATTAAATAAAACAAAAAGTAGGTAAACAGACAATCTGATACACAATAAACAACACGGAAGAAATAAAAGTATGTATGTGGTCTATGATAAACAATTTCAAGTTACGAATAGATATAGCCACAGACATATAGACATAACACATACAACACAAAGAACTCGTGCACAGGAACAACGGAACAGAACAAACATATTCAGCAATATGCGTATTTCGTCTTGCGAACACTGCAAGAGTGCACACAGAGATTCTGGACTGTACTTTGCTGGTGCACAGCAAGTCCACTTACGTAATTCTCGTCATACCATTGCACTATGTTTTTGCTGTCATTTGAAATGTAATTTAAAACAATGGTCTTGAGTATTCAATAAATAACTTATAACTGAATCGAGGAGAGTACCAGAGCCTGTTTTTTGTGTGTTTGCATTACCTAGACGGTACGACCCCCTCCAGTTAGATTAGTGTATGAAATACGGGGCTCCCATTTGGACTAGGGTCTTATCAGCGGCGACGAAATCGCTGCTGCGAATGTGCAGGGCGTACATGACGGTGGCCTGCGCTGCGGCGTCCTCGCCGGTACTCCGCCGTGGGACCTTGAAGCCGAGGTCCTGGCGGAGGCCTACCGGCGGGGAATGAGGGTTCGCGACGAGCGCCCCGGTCCCCAAGAGGTCGAGCGGGAGCAGGTGCTGACCGGCCGGTCCCCAAGAGGTCGAGCAGGTGCTGGCCGGGCACGGCTACTTCGGTCACTACCTGCACAAGGTGGCGAGGAGGGAACCGTCTCCGTCATGCCACGAGTGTGGCGCTGCGGATGACACCGCGCAGCATACCCTAGAGGTGTGCAGCCGGTGGTATGAGCAGCGCCGTACTCTGACGGGCACAATAGGGCAGGACCTCTCGCTGCCTTGCGTGGTGGCCGCCATGCTCGGTAGCGAGGAGTCCTGGTAGGCGGTGGCCTCCTTTTGCGAAGAGGTTATGTCGCAAAAGGAGGCTGCGGAGCGGGTGCGCGAGGACGCGGCGAACCCGCTTCGGCGCAGACGTACGAGGAGAAGGCGAAGGCAGTTCGCTGCTCGCCTGATCCTCTAGTGAGGCCAACGAGCTCAGGACAGGGACTCCGGAGCCTGCATTGCACGGCCTCACTCGTCCGGGGGGCGGGTCGGCGCAAGCTAGGGCGGCCGGGCGGCGTCGTGGAGAATGTACACCGACCCCACGGCGCCGACTCAACCGGCGGAACGTAAACCCGGGGGGGTTTAATGGGGTAGGCCCTCCAGTCTGGAGGGAGAGTCCCCACATAACTCCTGAGTCTCCCTGGGCTCAGGGGTATCTATAAAGATTTCCCCCGTAAAAAAAAGGTAAGTATATGAAAATGCCGCACGAGCCGAGAGACCATAGCGAGCGTGCCGCGGCAGCGGCCGGCGAGTGCCAGAGCCGAATTTGTTTGCATTACCTAGACGGTACG